AGTATAAAAAGAAGATGGAAGGAAAATAGAATCACTGTACCAAAAAGAAATGATCGATGTTCAACCATTTCAAGAAATAACATATGATCAAGAGCCAGTGGTACTGAAAGAAGAAGTCCAAGGTAGACTGAAGTCCTTGGCAAAGAACAAGGCTCTGGGAATTGATGGACTACAAATTGAAATCTTTCAACAAACCGATGCAGCGCTGTAGACACTCATCTGTGCCAAGACATTTGGAAGACAGTTACCTGGCCAACTGACTAGAAAAGACCATATTTGTGCCCATCCCAAAAAGAGGTGACCCAATGGAATGCAGAAATCATTGAACATATCATTAAAGTCACACGGAAGAAAAATTTTGCTGAAGATAATTTAAAAACAACTGCAGCCATTCATTGACAGGAAACTGCCAGAAGCTCAAGCCAGATTCAGAGGAGGGTGTGGAATGGGGGATATGATTTCTGATGTCCAATGGATCTTGGCCAGAAGCAGAGAATATCAGAAAGATGTTTACCTGTGCTTTATTGACTGTGCAAAGGCTTTTGATTGTGTGGATCATGACAGGCTATGGACAACACTGTGAAATATGAGTATTCCAGAACACTTAATTGTGCTCATGAGAAACTTGTACCTAGAGCAAGAAGTTGTTTGAATAGAACAAGGGGACATTGAATGCTTTAAAGTTAGAAAAGGTGTGTGTCAGGATTGTATTCTTTCACCATACTTAATTCACTCTATATGTTGAGTAAATTCTAGAAGCTGGATTGTATGAAGAATAACATGGCATCAGGGTTATAGGAAGACTCATTAAGAACCTGCAATATGGAGATGATAAGCTAAGAGCACTTAAAATACTTCATACAGGTTTCACCTCAATGTAAAGAAAACAGAAATCCTCACCACTGGGCCAATAAACAACATCCATATGAAGGGAGAAAAGATTGGAATTGTCAAGGACTTAATTTTGCTCTTAATAACCATCAACATTCACGGAAGCAGTAGTCAAGAAACTCAACAATATATTACATGAGGAAAATCTGCTGCACACAACCTCTTTAAAATGTTGAAGCCCAAAGATGTCAGTTTAAGGACTAAGGTGCACCTGAACCAAGCCATGGTATTTTCAATACCCTCATATACATGTGAAAGTTGGAAATGAATAAGAAGACAGTAGAAAAATTGATGCATTTGAGTTACGGTGTTTGAGGGTAATTTTACAAGTACGACAGTCTGCCAAAAGAGCAAACCATTCTGTGTGTGTTGAATGAAGTACAGTGAGAACATTCCTTAGAAACTAGGATGGCCAGACTTTTGTCTCTCATATTTCAGAACATGTTATCAGGAGGGACCAGTCTCTGGAGAATGACATCATGCTTGGTAGAGTGAAGGGTCAGTAAACAAGAGGAAGACCCTCAATGAGAGGCTTGGCACAGTGGCTGCAAAGCAATGGTGGTGAGGTTGACCCAGGACCAGATAATGTTTCATTCTATTGTGCATAGGGTCGCTATGAGTCAGTACCAACTCAATGGCACCTAACGACAACAACCCACTCATTTGGTAAGACTTAAAAAGACTTTGGATAGAAAAGTCTTATCAAATGAATTTACCACATCACAGATTACACCTTAGCATAAAGCAAACCAAAATGTTCACAAGCGGACCAATCATGATAAATGGAAAAAACATTGAAGTTGTCAAGGATTTCATTTTACTTGAAATTTTCAATTTGTGAATGTTGATTGGGAACCACAATCAACAACCATGGAAGCAGCAGTCAGGAAATTAAATGGAATACTGCTTTGAGGAAATCTGCTGCAAAAGCCCTCTTTAAAATAACAGAAAGCAATGATGTGACTTTGAGAATTAAGGCATGCCTGATCCAAACCATGGTAATTTTAAACACCCCATATGCATGCTAAAGCTGGAATAAGTAAGAGAATTACTGTATTTGAATCATGATGTTGAGGAAGAATATTGGCTATACTATGAATTGGCAGAAGAAAAACAAATTTTTTGGAAGAAATATTGTCAGAATGCACGTTAGAAGTGAGGATGGTGAGACTTTTCTCACTACATTAGACATGTTGTTAGGAGGGATTAGTCCCTGGAGAAAGACATCATGCTTGGTAGGGGACCAATGAAAAAGAGGACGGCCCTCAAGAAGATGGATGGATACAGTAACTGCAACAATGGGCGTAAACACAGCAAACATTGTGACAGTGGTGGAGGACCAGGCGGTGTTTTGTTCTGTTGTACAATAAGGTCACTAGGAGCTGAAATGGACTCAACAGCACCTAACAGCACAGAGGCAGAGAATTAGATATTTATGATGAAAAATGGATCTCAGGCACTATTGAAAATGTGTAGGAACCTCCTTAAGATGGATGTCTTTGCACTTTATTCAGTTCAACAATGATGAAACACTTAACAAAGGTTAGAGAAGCACAGTGGAGTCCAATGACCAGGTTTTAGCCACAGTTCCACCATGTAGTAGCACTGTGGTACTGAGTAACTAAACATCTCTGTAAAACCACATCACAGAATCAAGATGAGATATACGTCCAGTACCATCTGTGAAATGTCTTTGTGTAGGACAAAGTCTCATTATCTAGTGCTGGTGTAACAAATACAAGTGTGGGGCTTTAAAGAACAGAAATTTATTTTCTCACAGGTTAGGAAGCTAGGAGTTCAAATTCAGGGCATCAGTTGTAGAGGAGAACTGTCTGATGGGTCTGGGAGAGGACCCTTGTCTCTTTCAGCTTGTGTACTCCAGAGGTTCCTTGATTCTTTGGCAATCTTCACCCCCAACGAGATGGACTGGTACAGTGGCAACAGCGTAAAAATGATTGTGAGATATAGAAACAATAGCTGTAAAGCTTGTGATTTTACAGTAAACTCCAAGATTGTCAGTTATTATTAACATTGACACTTTCCCACTTTCTAATCTCAAAGGAGCCCTAGTGGTGCAGTGGTGAAGTGTTGGATGGCTCACCCGCCTCTAAGGGGGAGGATGACATGGCAGTCTGTTTCCATAAAGATTTACAGTCTCTGAAACCCCAGGGAGGTTTTCTGTCCCCCAAAGGGTCGCAGGGAGTCCTGGACAACTTCAGTTTGAACCAGAAGGTCGGCTGTTCAGATCCATCAGCGGTACCTTGTAAGCCCTACATAGGGTGGCAATACTGTATGTTACTCAACTACGTATAGAAAGACCACCCACCATACGTGTCAATAAATCTGATATGGACCTGGATGCCAGGTCCTTCGCGGGCTTCACTGGGTTTTGTCACCACTGTGCCTGTAACCTGTGTGCTGAGCAAATAATCCGAGAAGCTGGTTTATATGAAGAAAAACGTGGCATCAGGATTGGAGGAAGGCTCATTAACAACCTGTGATATGAAGATAATATAACCTTGCTTGCTCAAAGTAAAGAAGACTTAAAATATTTACTGATGAAGATCAAAGAGCACAGCCTTCGGTATGGATTGCATCTCAATGTCAAGAAAACAAAAATCCTCACCACTGGACCAATAAACAACATTCTTATCAATGGAGAAATAATTGAAGTTGTCAAGGACTTCTTCTTGGATCAACTATCAATACTCAAGGAAGCAGCAGTCAAGAGATCGGACAATGTATTGCATTAGGCAAATCTGATGCACAAGACCTTTTTAAAGTGTTGGATAGCAAAGACGTCAGCTTGAGGACTAAGGTGCACCTCACCCAAGCCATGGTGTTTTCAATAACCTCATATGCATGCGAAAGCTGGACAGTGAATAAGGAAGACCGTAGAAGAATTGACGCCTTTGAGTTATGGTGTTGGAGGAGACCATAGAAGAATTGATGCCTTTGAGTTATGGTGTTGGCAGCCATGGGCTGCCAAAAGAACCAACAGTTCTGTGTTGGAAGAAGTGCAGCCAGAGTGCTCCTTGGAGGCCAGGATGGCTGAACTTCGTCTTTCATACTTCAGACATATTGTCAGGGGACCAGTCACTGGAGAAGGATATCATGTTTGATAGGGTAGAGGGTCAGAGAAAAAGAGGAAGACCCCTAACAAGATAGATTGGCCAAGTGGCAGCGTCGATGGACTCAAGTGTGACAACAGTAGTGAGGTTCGGGCAATGTTTCGTTCTTCTGTGCATAAGGTTGCTGAGTCGAATCCCGACCAAATGGCAACTAACAACAACCTGTGTGGTGCTGTGGGATACGCGCTGGACTGCCACCCGTTAAGGTTGGCGGTTCAAACCCACCAGCTGCTCTCGGAAACCCTACACAGGGTCCCTATGAGTTGGAACTGACTCTATGGTACGTAGCAATGTGCTCTACTCGTTTCGCAGGCCTGTTATGAAAAGGTTCCGAAATAGACGATGTAAAAGAAAAACACTTCCTGAAATACTAAATGCGGTGCTTTTTCTGGTCAGCTCGGCTCAGGAAATTTGGAATCTTGTTCAGGCTGCCCAGTGACAGTGAATGGAAAAACCACTGACCGGCATCCTGGGCGCTGTCACCCGCCCAACACCGGTGCGATGTCCATTTAACAGATAAAACAACTGAGGCAAAGTCAGAAAACTGCCCCTAGTCTGTGCCGGGCTAAAGTTCTGAAATCAGCTAATCATGAGGGAGCCGGTTTCTCGTGCCTGTCATCATGCGCGCCGCCACCTGAGCGCCCAAAACGTAGCGTTCTTTACCCAACAGTTTGCAGCTTGGCGTTGTTGTTTAGGCCCGCCCCCAGCCCACTTCCGCCATCGCGGGTCCGGGAGAGCCCTCCCGCGTACTCCCTACACTTGTGTACAGAAACCAAGCACCGCCTCCTGCGGAACGCAGAGACTGCGTGTGCGCATCTGACCCGAGAGCATCCGCCCGAGCGCGGCAGGGTTTCTGTTCCGCGCCGATCACTTCCGGCGGGGCAAAGCCGGCCAATGGCGTGGGCGCGAAGGCGGGCCGTAGCTCTCCCAGGCTCCTCCTCGCCCCGGTGTATTTGGAGTAGCGGGCGAATAAGACACATGGCTTCCGCCGGGAAACTCAACACCTTCCGTCTCCCGCCTTTGCCCACGATTCGAGAAATCATTAAGTTGTTTAAACTGCAAGCACTGAAGCAGCTGTCCCAGAACTTTCTCCTGGACTTGAGACTGACAGGTGGATGGCTGGCTGTTCCGTGCTTCCTGGGGCTAGGGCCGGGGTCTCGCGCGGAGCCGGCGGGCGGAGCCCAAGGTCGGGCCGGGGTGTGCGGTGGTCTCCACTTCCTACGAAAACAGCCCTGGAGACCCACCCCCGGAGTCCGTGCATTGCGCCCTTCGCTCACAGGGCCCCGCTCGGGCGCGAGGCTGTGGCAGCTTGGGGGTCTCGCGGGGCAGAGCTCACCGGGGCCTTCGGCGTGTTGCCTGTAGGTTTGCTTTTCATGCCGTTTAAAGCTACCAGAACTTAAATTCGAGCAAGGGTTTGAACATGCTGCGGAATAAGAGTGTCTCGTAGAATTCTCGTAGAATTCGTTTGAGTCTTTGAAATCCGCCAGGACGCAAATACTGGGAATACCTAGTGAACAAGCTACTATTGGGGAATGCTGGCCCCAGGAAGCTTACGTTTTAGTAATTTTACATTCATATTCCTTCCAAAAAAGTTTTATATGGTAACATTTGCACTGTAGGATAAGCACTGGACCTCAGGGTCGGAGATTCAAACCCACCAGCCGCTTCTTGGAAACTTGAAGTTGAAACCGACTCATTGGCACTTAGTATATATGTGTGCGTGTTTCACCATTTTGAAGAGCACAATGTGATGATTTTTACAGCTATGTTGTTGTTGTTATGTGCCGTGGAGTCGGTTCCGACTTATAGTGACCCTGTACAGGGTTTCCGAGGCTGTAAAGCTTTATGGGAGTAGAAAGCCTCATCTTTCTCCCGCGGAACAGTTGGTAGTTTCGAACTGCTGACCCTGAGGTTAGCAGCCCGATTCGTAACCACTACGCTACCAGAGCTCCTTTGACAGCTATGTTGTTGTTGTTATGTGCCGTGGAGTCGGTTAGGATTCATAGCGACTCTGTACAGGGTTTCTGAGGCTGTAAATCTTTACGGGAGCAGAAAACCTTATCTTTCTCCCGCGGAACAGCTGGTAGTTTCGAACTGCTGACCTTGCGGCTCGCAGCCCGATTCATTGACAGCTATAGGCACCCTCAAACACCAAACCCATTACTTATGGATGGATGGTGTCTTTTAAAAGATGAGATGACAGAGTCAGATGTGCTACAAACAGGCCCACTCACTCACTGTTGGAGTACTTAACATTTTGATGTTTTCCTATTTCATACTATTTGACCCCTCTTCAAAAGGTAAAAAGAGCCAAAAATCATACTCAGAAAGTTCATTTTCAGTGAAATGAACCAGTCCACAAAGCGACAAGTAGTATGTTTTATTTTGGGATAGGTTTTATTGTGACCTATTCTAGACATTGGGTAAAACAGCTTCTCTTTAGTTTTCCCATCTTGTAAATTGAGGTGCTGGTGTGCAACGGAGTTGGTTCCGACTCACAGTGACCCCGCATAGGATTTCCAAGGCTGACAGTCTTTATGGGAGCAGAATGCTTCATCTTTCTCCCTCTGAACAGCTGGTAGTTTTGAACAGCTGACCCCGAGGTTAGCATCCTGATTCATAACCACTACGTTACCAGAGCTCCTTATAAAATGAGGATGGGGGTGGCAAAACAAAACAGCCCACTCTTGTGCAGTTGATTCTTATCGTTTCGGACAGTAAAACTGCCCCATAGGGTTTCAAGGGTATCAGGCTTTATGGGAGCAGACTGCCACATCGTTCTTCCAAGGAGTGGACCATCTGGTGGGTCCAAACGGACTTCAGCTAGCAGTCTGGTGTTTAACTTCTGCACCTCAGGGCTCCTTGTTAAGAGCTGTCAAATCCGTCTTCACTCACACAGGGTTTCTGAGGAGCTGCTGGTGGATTTGAACCTCCGCTTGTGGTCTAATACCTATCCTACAGCGCCACAGGGCTTCTTAGGGTTGGACTGTAAGATCTTTAAAAAAGTTACCAGTCCCAATTGTAGGGGAGTTCATGCCAACTTATGGAGACCCATAGAATTGGGCTCCATAGGGTTCAGAAATGAATTGCCATGCTTTACTTCAGAGGTGCCTCTGGGCAGGTTTGAACCCCCAACCTTTTTGGCTAGTCAAGAGCCTAATCATTTGCACTACCCCAAGACTCCTTTAAAAAGCTACTTACAGCTTAACCAGTCCCAGGTTTTTCAACCTGCCATTCCCGATGTACTAGGGACTAGCGTATCTTGGCAGTCTTGAAGGTTCAGCTCCACTGCAGTAAAGCGAGGCACACACATTTTTTGGTTTCCCAGTGCAGACAGAAGTTACGTTTACATTACACTGTTGTCTAGTAAGTGTACTTGAAATATTGTAAAAATGACCAAACTGTACTACAGATGTGAATTCTGTTGGAAAAAAATGGCGCCAATAGACACACTCAACACAGGGTTGTCAAAAATCTTCAATTTGTAGAAAACATGATATTGACAAAGCCTAGTAAAGGGAAGAACAATACAAGGTGTGTCTGTAGATGGCACACGCTCAGAGGGCTGGAAATTTAGGTCTTTATTGTTTAAAACTTTCATTTACATTTTCTCTTGTGAACCTGTATTCACCCTCAGGAGTGACAGTTCCTGATTCTAGATATTACTATTCACTTGTTTTTACACTTTATTGTGAATTGAGTGAAGGTTTACAGAGTAGATCATGGGTTTTACAGTCAGCAGATTGTACCCCTGGTCTCAGCTCACTGACTGCAGTTCCCTCATGTAACATCACTTAACCCACTTCCTCCCTGTGCTTGTCTCCGTTCCTCAGTCTTTCCCAATCCTTCTTAACTTTGTCCTTTTTGATCTCAAATGGTTGACCATTCTGTGGTGTGTGTACCTCACTAGTAGTGTTGTCCCCACTATATACCTATCTTTTGCTGAGTTACAAATTGAGCCTTGAGGGTGAGTTCAGTTCCAGACGTGACATTTCAGGATTCCAGAGTCTGACTTAGAAGTTTCCTGTGATTTTGAGTTTGGGTCCACATTTTCTTTGCCTCTATTTAGGATCTTCTAATGTGATTCTGTTCAGAGCAGTTGTTAGTGGGAGCTGGGCACCATCTACTTCTTTTGGTCTCAGGGTCATGGAGTCTGATGTTCCTGTGGTCCATTGGACTAATTGTTTCCAAACATCTTTAATTTTCATCATGCTTCATTCTCCACGAAGGGAGAGATGAATAGTTGCACCATGTTGTTGTTAAGTGCCATTGAGTCAGTTCTGACTCATAACGACCCTGTAGAGGGTTTACAAGGAGTAACTGGTGGGTTTGAACCCCCAACTTTACAGTTAGCAATCCAGTACTTCTCCTACAGTGCCACACCAGGACTCCAGTTTCACCGTACATGGCTGATATCCACTCTTTCTATGGGACCAAAGTGAAGAGAGTTCGACAGACTTGTCTGAGATGAGAAGCTTAGGCTGGGTAGAGCTGAAACCCAGGTTTCACGACCCCACAGTTCTTCCTCGTACTCGTATTTGAATGTGCTGAAGGTATTTCGGGGCAGTCTCTTCTGCCTACTGCCCTAGTCCTCCACATTTAGAAATGGAGAATATGAGCTTTGCTCCGTACATCACAGCTCTACCCTCTAGGAAGCATGGTGCGGTAGAGAATTGTCTTCAGAGGTCTAGGGACCCAAGTTGGATTCTGTTCTCTTACTCTTTAGGTGAAACTTTGCTTTTGACAAGGAAACAAGTTCAGAGCCGTTAAATTGGGGTGTTAGTTCTTGCAGAATCGCTGGTCAGTGAATGCCAGTTGCCTCCCTGAAGCTGTTAAGAGACAAAACTGCTCTTGTATTGTTGAGAGACTATTTTTGCCCTTAAGTGTACAACGATGTTGTTGTTAGGTGCCATTGAGTCAGTATCAACTCATAGTGACCTTGTGCACAACAGAACAAAACACTGCGCCAACTTCACAGTCGTTGCTACATTTGTGCCTGTCTCTGCAGTGGGACTGTACAGCACTTGAGTTTTCAGAAGCTAAGTTCCTACTCCCTCTGGAGACCCAGTGGCTTAGAGTTCAATACCTCAATCAGTTGGTAAGGCTAGCCTAGGATGGATGATTGATTGCAATGAATCAGTACTCTGCTTTGATCTGATTTCTTAAGGTTTATTAACTGAAGTTGATGAATTAAAGAATTGATTTCTCTATTAGCATGCATGTTTGCAAAACATTGAAAATGGCCAAGAATCGCAATTTCCAAATCTTAGGATCTGACAACTTGTTACAATTGTCATGGTGACCACCAACTTAGGTCAGATCTGGAGGCGGCCAGAACCTTGTGCTTTGGCATTTTAAATGAGCTACCTTGAAGATTCTGACTGTGAAACCAGCCTGGCTTACCCAGATATTTGACCATGTTCTACATCTGTAAGATAATGGTGCACGTGGCTTCTTAGGAGGTGTTTGGTTTAAGGACAGAGAGGAAATACAGTATTAGCTAAAGGTAAGTTCAGGGCATTTTGTCCCCTTTTTGCTAAGGGACTGGTCCAATTCATCAGTGACTGTGTGTGGCAGGCAGTTGTAGGACTACTGTAGGTTCGTCTGGGTTCAGAGTTAAATCACTGAATAGCTATTGTATGTAAAGAATTACCTGATACAGAATTGTAAATTCCATGCATTGAAATGTTCCCAGATATACAGGCTATCTAACCCTTACTTTGTGTTTTGTAGACAAAATTGTAAGGAAAGCTGGCAATCTGAACAATGCTTACGTGTATGAAGTGGGTCCCGGGCCAGGCGGCATCACAAGATCCATTCTCAATGCCAATGTGGCTGAACTCCTGGTGGTTGAAAAGGACACGCGGTTCATTCCCGGTTTACAGGTGGGATGCGTAAAATGTCTGCTTTGTTGGTTTTTTTTTTTAACAGAAAGGCAACAACTCATGTTCAATGATTAAGTTAGCTGCGTGTTGTCCCAGGATCGCGGTTGTCTAATTGCAGGTCTTCAGCTCACATCTGAAAGATTCCGAGTCTATAGTTCAGGATTGTCGGACTTCCCCAGGTGATTCGGATAGAGGTTCTCTGTGAGCATAAGTTGAATAAACCTGCTGGACACGTTGAAACTAATAAACTCAAGAGTTTTATGGGATTTTATGTTGTATTAAAGGAGCTCTAGTAACGTAGTGGTTATGAATCGGACTGTAAACCTTAGGGTCAGCAGTTCGAAACTTACCAGCTGTTCCGTGGGAGAAAGATGAGGCTTTCTGCTCCTGTAAAGATTTACAGCCTCGGAAACCCTGTACAGGGTCGCTATGAGTCAGAATCGACTCCACGGCACATAACAACAACAACATGTTGTATTAGGTAATTCTGGTGTGGTGCTGTATGATAAGCACTCCGACTGCAAGGTCAGTGGTTCAAACTCCCCAGCTGCTCTTCAGAAACCCTCACAGCGCCGCTATGAGTTGGAACCAACTTGACAGTGCTTTAACAATGACAACAGTGTTGTATGTTGGGGAATGCGATGGCTTCATAAGATAAGCACTGGACTGCAAACTGTAAGGTTGGTGGTTTGAGCCCACCAGCCTCCTTTCAGGAGAAAGATGAGGCTTTCTGCTCCCACAAAAGTTTGAAAGCCTCAGAAACCCCATACAGGATCGCTGCGATTGGAACTGACTTGATGGCATGTAACAGGAACATGCTGTATGTTATTTACTAATAACTGTGTGTGTCATGTCCCATTCCTTTAAAAATAAATAAAACAGAAATAACTTCTCAAATAAAAGCCAGTTCCTAGGAGTTACAGTTCAAGTACAGTGAAACCTGCCAGAATCCAGTTTAGGCAGCAACAGGTCAGAGAAGGGACACTCAGGTAGTTGCTATTCAAACAAGCAATAGTAAAGTTCCATTCTCTCAAAGATGGAAAACTTGCAAGACCCAGAAATCAAGGCTGTCCCATCGTGGTCCAGCTCTCTGCGGCCTACGCCTGTCCACCTCCTCCGAGCCCTGCGGCCACGTTGTCTCTGTTCCTCTGCAGGGCCTCAGACTATATACTCACAGATATGTGGTTTATTAGGGTACAAACAGGCGGGAGTAACAGGGCACTGTTCAGGAGGGACACGAAGAGGTCCTCGGGAGGATTGGAAAGGTCCCCAAAGTGGAGGGCATGTCCGTCCTCAGGAAGTTTCATGAAAGTTCCGTGTTTGGGGCTTTTATCAGCCCTTCCACACACGCAATGTTGCTTACAGGTGGGCTAGCCGACTGGCTCCTGCTCCTTAATGAAGACCCTCAGGTGTAGCCAGTGTCACTTAGACCATAGGCCAAGGCTTCAGTAAAGTCCCCTTCACCCGACATGAGAAACCACCCACAGTGATGCGTTCATTGGCGTGACTCCTGAGAACTTCCATCAGTGAACGAAGAGAAGACCTCACACCAATAGCCTTCACTGAGAAACACTGATTGTTAGACTTGGTGTGGTGCTGCAAGATAATGCACTAGACTATTAGGTTGGCAGTTCAAATCCACCAGCTGCTCCTCTGAAACTCTATACAGGGTCACTATGAGTTGAAACTGACTTGATGGTGCTTAATAACAACAACAAATTGTTAGACTTAGGCATTTTTAAGTTCACATTCATCACATTTATTACTTAACATTTTGTTGTTGGGAATGTACA